ACGTTTATTTTTTACGTTGATAATAAGTTATTTCCCAACGCTTATTTTTTACGTTGCCTGATAGCAATTACTGCCCAACGTTTTTTTTTACGTTACTGATAACTATTATGCAATAGAAATATTTTTTCCGTTGCCAGTCTATATAAGTATATAATTTGAATGCCAACAGATCTGCACCGTTCGTTCGATTTTCAAAAGTGAGGTGTCAAATTACAGGGGTTGCCACCTGTTAAAAATCTAGCTTAAAATGAATTTATAAGTTAAATGAATTACTTCATCATGGGTATAAACCGAAATAGTTTTGACAGGGGTTTTCGAAACTGCATGAAGGAGGGTTGCCGCCTGTTTGAAAAGCTACATTGAAATGTACACGTACCGAAGATGTATATTTCGTAATTCACAAAGGCCCTAACCAATACATCGGTCCCTGGTCCACTTCCGGGAAAAAAAGGATTCTGTATCGTAATCCAGGCAAAAAGCTACCTACAGTTGTCCACAAAATAATAGGAGTGCGATATTTTGACCAGTTTTGGCTATTTGTCTTTTGTTTATTTAATGTTTATTATTTTTTTATAAAAGCCTAGCTGGCTATACAACAAACACCATATAAATTCAGATTTTAAACTTTGTATAAAAATTATAAAAATTTTGCAATTTTTCACCCAAATTTCAAACTTTTTAATCAGAATCTTTAGAAAAAATTCTGGTATGCAGTTTTGTAGCACATTCAATTCTAGTCTGAAGAAGTGCAAGTTTCAAGCGGCTAAAAAATTCCGTTGATTTTTGGCAATTTTTTTGCTGGCAGTGTCCTCCATATAAAAGAAAATTGTCGACATACTTTGTATGGAAAAAACGTGAAACACCTTTAACCAAAAAAATTCTCAAAAATCAACGGAATTTTTTAGCCGCTTGAAACTTGCACTTCTTCAGACTAGAATTGAATGTGCTACAAAACTGCATACCAGAATTTTTTCTAAAGATTCTGATTAAAAAGTTTGAAATTTGGGTGAAAAATTGCATAATTTTTATACAAAGTTTAAAATCTGAATTTATATGGTGTTTGTTGTATAGCCAGCTAGGCTTTTATAAAAAAATAATAAACATTAAATAAACAAAAGACAAATAGCCAAAACTGGTCAAAATATCGCACTCCTATTATTTTGTGGACAACTGTATGTACCAAATTTTAAGCAAATCGGGCCATAAATACGACTTTTTTGAATAGATCGGTCCCTGGTCTACTTCCCGGAAAAATAGATCCTATATGCTTATCTAGGCAAAAAGCTATCTGCGTACCAAATTTCAAGCAAATCGGACCATAAATAAGATTTTTTCAAAACGATCAGTCCCTGGTCCACTTCCCGGAAAAAAAGGATTTCATATGGTAATCTAGGCATAAAGCTACCTACAAACCAAATTTTAAGCAAATCGGGCCATAAATACGATTTTTTTGAATAGATCGGTCCCTGGTCTACTTCCCGGAAAAATAGATCCTATATGCTTATCTAGGCAAAAAGCTATCTGCGTACCAAATTTCAAGCAAATCGGACCATAAATAAGATTTTTTCAAAACGATCAGTCCCTGGTCCACTTCCCGGAAAAAAAGGATTTCATATGGTAATCTAGGCATAAAGCTACCTACAAACCAAATTTTAAGCAAATCGGGCCATAAATACGATTTTTTTCGAATAGATCGGTCCCTGGTCCACTTCCCGGAAAAATAGATCCTATATGCTAATCTAGGCAAAAAGCTATCTGCGTACCAAATTTCAAGCAAATCGGACCATAAATAAGATTTTTTCGAAACGATCAGTCCCTGGTCCACTTCCCGGAAAAAAAGGATTCCATATGGTAATCTAGGCAAAAAGCTACCTACAAACCAAATTTTAAGCAAATCGGGCCATAAATACGATTTTTTTTCGAATAGATCGGTCCCTGGTCCACTTCCCGGAAAAAAATGATTCTATATGGTAATTTAAGCATAGAGCTACCTACGCTCCAAATTTCGAGCTAATCGGACCATAAATATGATTTTTTCGAATAGATCGGTCCCAGGTCCACTTCCCCGAAAAAAGGATCCTATATCCTAATCTATGCAAAAAGCTACCTACGTACCAAAATTTTAAGCAAATCGGACCATAAATACGATTTTTTTCCAATAGATCGGTCCCTGGTCCACTTCCCGGAAAAAGGGTGTCCTGTATGCTAATCTAGGCAAAAAGATACCTTCATACCAAATTTTAAGCAAGTCGGACAATAATAAGATTTTTTCGAATAGATCTGTCCCTGGTCCACCTACCGGAAAAAAGTAAATTTTTTTTGGCCTGAAACATGGTGGTTGCTGAAAGCTATTTATACACAAAATTTCATCAAAATCGTATCAGCCGTTGGCGAGATTACCTGTTACAAAAAAAATGGACTTCTCTTTATATACTTAGTACAGAACTATACTATCTTCTAGCAACGGAAAAAATATTTCTATTGCATAATAGTTATCAGGCAACGTAAAAAATAGGAGTTGGGAAATAAATCTAATCGGCAACGTAAAAAATAAACGTTGGAAAATAACTCTTATGGGCAGCGTAAATAATAAACGTTGGGCAATAACAGTTATTGGCAGCGTAAAAAATAAACGTTGGGAAATAACTATTATCGGCAACGGAAAACATATTTCTCATCTAATAACTGTTATGAAACAAAGTTTTCGTTAAATTTCAGAATTCGGGCAACGTTTTCAATTTGTACATTCGAGATAACAGTTATTTTTGGTCCCTGCAAATGACACATCGTACTCGCTTCAGAAGTTTTTCAGGCACGTGATCGGTGCCATCCCTCTATATAAGACGTTGACGGACGAGCAGAGTGTCTTTGGAGCGATTGCTTTAGATAGAATCTGGCTATGTTTCGTCGGAAGAGTAGTTGGTCCATCGTATCTTCTCTGGAATGTACATGCAATCGCCAAGCATTTGATCCTGTACAGGGAAATTGACTGATCCATTTCATCAACTCCACCCATGGCCTTATTATAATTTTGGAATTTTGGGATTTTGAAATCAACCCTTTGTTTTTTTCAGCAGACCATCTTTTTACAGTTCCTACTGGCTCGTAAGAATCATAGTTCGTTGCCATTGTTCAAATGCTGTTGTCCTTCCACCGAACCAGTAACACTTCATTCCTTTCATCGAATCTGTAATCAAACTCTCCTCTTGATTTTTTTTTCATCTCCTTTGCATTTACCAATGGGCATTTCTTAGTGCGGTTTTCACGAATGGTTCCTGTAGCTCGATAACCTAATTGCCTCAAATCGCTTAGCAGATCATAGCTACTGAAAAAGTTATCAAAGAAAGCTTTATGGTTTGCAGGATCGGTTATCATTTTATTTAACAACATCTTAACAACTCTAGTTCCTAGAGGCTCAGTACTAGAAGTAGCAGCTTTACCACAATAAATATCGAAGTTGTAGCAATATCCCGAAGAACTAGCTGCGACCCAAAACTTACGGGTTTTCCTCTAATAAATTGTTTCGCCGAATGATGACCGTAATACTTTACCATGGACTCATCAATGGAAATATTTTCGTGAAAAATATTCCATTGGTTGAATTTCTTCATGAGCATATCCCCAAGCTTTCGTACTTTGAACATCGGTAGTATTTTGAGCGTCGTTATTGTCTACAAGATGTAAATTCCTTTTTATTTCCCTAAACCTGTTACTGGACATAGCGTTCGATACTGCATGGACTCCGATATCCTCATCTAATGACCAATACATACGCTCTCTAGGTAGTTTATGATAACCACTCAATATTAGTATTCCGAAGAAAATTTTCAGCTCTCCAGCACTGACAACGAAATTGTGTCGATTATTCTGACTCGCATATAAGTTACTGAAGTCGGCAATCACGGTAAATACATCGTCGTCAAAGAACATTTCAAATATTTGAACCGGTGTGAGATTTTTCACTTCATCTTTCATGCGACTATCATTTATTACTCGGTTGTCAGATTCTGTAAATGTATTCGTATAATGTGGAGTACACTTACGCCAAACTGGAGTATTTGATGTTTGAGGTACACTGGAACTGATTCGGGCTCTTTTGGTAGCTAATGGCTCGTCATCACTGCTATTTGCTGAATCTGAATAAACATCAACATCGCGGGCAAATATCTCAATATTTCCGGGAACATCATTCGGCATGCTAGATGGAGCATCGTTGTCATCAAAACCCTCTTCTTCGTCAGTAACAACGCTGGGTTCCGGGGGAATTATAGCCAAGTCACACTCCAAACCATCACAACTGTCTTTTACGATAGAACTTATGGCCTCTTCTAGACCTTGGAAGTTGGTACTTGCTTTAAATATTCGCTTACGACTTATTTTCAAACTCTGCGAAATAAGGATAAATTGAGTACACTTGTGGCCGCTGTACCCGAATTTGAACAGCCATGTTTTGAGTAAAACAAATACTTACATTCTTTATATACGTTACTATAAAATATTGTAAATGATTGATTATTTATTGAATTTGGTATATTACAATCAAAAATGATGATTGCATTTATCTACATATTACTACAATTAAAAAATAATACATACCTCCACGCGCGTCTTGATAAGAAATTTCAGCAAATAAGTAAACAAAAATCACAACTAATAGATACATCTTTTTATTGTATATTTAACCACTGCACTTCTAACTACTCAAAACTGAAATTAAATTTGCACTGGTGTCAACACTTGTCAAATTGGCACGGCGACCATTAATGGGTTAATGATTGGAGAGCTTCTCAAACTATATTGAAGCAATTTTTTCGATTTAAGTTATTGATGATGATTGATGATAATGAATATCTAAATCCCGGGATCCCGGGATTGTGCTAACGAGAACCCGAAAATCCCGGGATCGTAAAAAGCGAAAAAATTAACATCCCTAATAAGTACGTATACATACATATATGTATGTATGTACATATATACATGCATATAAACAATATGTTTACCTTCATAGCGCGCTACCCCGTGTGACTCACGTACACCATTTTCGCCCTCTCTTTCTCACGACGAAATGGCGAAACGCCGTCACATGCGCGAACCCGACTGTTGCTCAATGAGAGAGGAGATTGCATTAGCCATTTTCTGTGCTTATTTGTGGCCAGTGGAGGTGTTCTGTTGCATTGCAAAGAATATGAAAAAAAACGGCACGAGACTGCTAACGCAAAATAAACGCAACGTAAATATTCAGGAAAACAAACAACTAAACCAGTCGACAGAGTCACATACAGTGTTGCCGTTTTGATCCAAATGGATCAAAATGATACATTTTTCATCGAATTTTTAAAAGATACTTTTATTTTTAACTACTATAAATTGTGATACATTTTAATTCACAAGTTGAGGGTAACTCTTTCCATCTTAAGACTTTTATGATTTTGTGGCCACACATTAGTTTGTTTCCTTTCATTGAACATACCACCTTTAATCTGCATATGGCATCATTGTTAGCTACAGAAAACTAGCCTGTTCCCGTACTCCAGGATTTAGTCCGAAATAGTCCGAAGTCGTTTCCTTTCACACATTTATCATATATTTTGCGAACAACTTCTCACTAAATTATGGAGTGCGGGGACAGGCTAATATTGTCGTTCCTTTTCCTTTTTAATTTTGAAGCTGTCGGATGTGGTACTTTGCTAAAGGCAGGCTCACGATTGGTACATTTGTACAGATTTGTACATTTTGGCAGTCTAAGAGTGGTGTTCTTTAGAAATTTGAGTTCAGCTCAATAAAAGAATTTTAAAACAACACTACTCTGTAACTGTACAAATCTGTACAAATGTGCCAATCGTGTAAAACTGCGTTAAGAATTTTGTCTAGAGTAATCCAGTAAGTATTGTGAAAACCACTGTTATGTGTTTACAGTGTTAAACACCACATTGACAAGTGATTTTAGTTAAGTATGCAAATGAATTAAACTGTTACCGAGTATAAAAGCTTTATTTTCACTCTGTATTTTATATAAAAACCAAAAAATATTAATAAAAACTGTCAACGATATCAATTAAAAATTCAAACTACCATTTTAATTAAAGTATTAGAAGTTTTATTGAAGATTGATACTTTGATACTTGAACTTTTTTTCATGATACTTTTGATCCATTTTAAGGAAATTTGGTGATACATTTCTTCTGAACGCCGCGGCAACACTGGTCACATATGCATCCACATTAAGGCGTATCACGGGAAAAAGTTTAGTGTGTGTCAGTTTTATGCATATATGTAATACTCCTATATTGGCAGTAACAGCCAGTATAGTCCGAAAACATTACAGTGCAGATATATCAATAAACACGTACAAATACACGTACACATACGTTTATAAATACCCTGCAGTGCAAAGTCAAAGCAGTCAGTAAAAATACCAGTGCATTAACTAGGATGTGCCAATTGACAATTTCGAAGAACTTAAGCGTTCAGCGACATCTGCCTTTGAATTGACAACACCAAACATAAAACGCAATTAATTGCTTTTCTTACAAATGTCGGTTGTGGCGTCGCATGAAGACTGACGGTTCTGGTGCTGAGATCGCAGGTTTGAGTCCGCTTGGAGGTGGTTAAGATTTTTAAAATTAATTCAATGTAAGTCAATATAATTATTTCAGTTTAAATATAAATAATAAAATTGAAAATCTAATTTCATTGCAGAAAAAACATGCATATGGGAAGAGATACTTGTGCCATAAAACAAGAAACTAATTTCATTTTTTCATTTCATTTTATTTCATTTCATTTATCTTTTTTTTATTAGATTTAAAACTTACAATAAAAACCCTAAATAAAAAACTGCATTAAAAAAATAATAAATGAAAAATAAAAATAAATAAAAAAATTAAAAAAATATATAAAAAAAGTTCCCTGCGCCAGGGAATGAACCCCGGACCTCAGGAATACCACGCCAGTGCTCTGCTCTGTCGGCCATTACCACTGTTGCAGCGCCGCGAGCAAAGTGGCATACTTATGCTTTTCACGGGGTATGAATTGGCACACGATCACATTAACTGGTATGATGCTACTACTATTTCTACTGGTAGATGCTGATGCACAGCCTGACAATTGACATCTCGTAGGACATCCCCGTGTTAAAAATACTAATCGCTTACATTGAAAATAGACAGAACGTGAACTAGTTGGGCTGAAAAGCAAACTGGTAGTATTCTAGTTCACAACTACCCTGTAGGATCTCGGAATAGACTTAGAGCACACCACAAACTAGACTGCAAGTGATTGTAACTAGTCCAAAGTTTGGTTCAACAACATGTAAAATTCTATTTACATTTTACCTTGAATGTCCTAGGCTCGGACCAATTGTCCCCTTCTGCATTACATTGTAAGCAATTTTGGGGGAAAAAAACAAAAATAAAGCTTGCGCCAGCTGCGATTCGAACCGGGGTTCTCAGATTTTCTAAGCGGATACTCTCTCTGCATGCCAATGTCGCACATGAAAATTTGTTGACTAAGTACCTACATATCAGCAAGCCGTTAATTGTACCCGTTGTCCGCTACTGCATGACATTGTAACCAGTTTTAGATCAAAACTCATACCTTATGCATTACATTCGGACCATTTTTAGTACAATTCACCTGTTTTACATTACATTGCTTTATATTTTTGGACTATCTTTGGTCTAGATACAAAGCTACTATACCTACGACTATATTTTTCGAGCAATTGGACCAATCTTTCCTTCAGGGTAGTAGCTTTCCCTGCAGGATAAATATGTACACAACACATGCACAAAAACGCTACTCACGTAAACAATACATAAACAAAAACGGTACTGGACTGTTAGCTTACTGCCAATATAGAAGTATTATATGTATACCGTCGTTTAAAGTACAAAACCGCGTAACTGACATTTGCTGCCAAAAATTTAATTTGCTCACACAACCTTTTGGCTCAATCTTTATTCATTCATCCTGAAATATACTAGCCAGATATGTGATTGCTTTATAAAAAAGAGAACCATTTTGTAATATGAGTGTTTTTACTCTCTAGAAAATAGTTTATGCAACCTCACATACGCGGTTTTGCATTTTGTTGATACGCGGTTTTGTACTTTAAACGACGATATATGATTTTATGGATCGTTTATCGATAGCAACGTAACTTCAGTGGCGTTGCCAGTTGCCTAAACGATATTACATATGGAAAATGGTTGCTGTGAAGGTTTTTGGAGCGTATTTAGGAGCGAAAATTGAAAAGTATATGAAATGTGAAGAATGCGTTTAATTTGAAAGAGAGATTAACGAATATAAGTGTATGTGATGAAGATGTTTTAGTGTCGTTCGATGTCAGTTCCTTGTTTACGAATATACCGACAATGTTAGCTACAAAAATTATTATGAAAAAGTGGGACCAGATACAACGGACAACCAGCATTCCAAACCACAAATTCCAACAAATTCTTGACTTCTGCCTTAAAGGTAATAACTACTTCATGTGCAATAACAAACTATACACCCAAACATTTGGAATGCCAATGGGCAACCCCCTCTCACCGACAATTGCCGACATCATTATGGACGACCTTCTGGACAACACCATCTCGGAGCTGAAACAACACTTCAACATTGACATCAAGTTTATCAACAAATATGTAGACGATATTTTTGCAATAACAAACCGCAACGACGTGAATACAATTCTAGAGACGCTAAACAAATACCACCCAAAACTTCAGTTTACCATGGAAATGGAAGAAAACGCGAGCATACCTTTCCTTGATGTCCGTATACACAAAAACAACAACAATATTGTTCTAAACTGGTACTCGAAACCAACGTCGTCTGGACGCCTGATCAATTATCTCTCCTCCCAACCAAGAAAATATAAAATCAACACCGCGAAAAATCTTATACACAAAATACTGACGATAAGCGACCAAAAATTTCACGAAGCCAACATAGAGAAAATACACAGCATTTTGAAAAGCAACAATTATCCCAATCACCTGATACGCGAACTAATAAAACAAGAAACAATGCGAATAGGAAATCAGCAAAATAAAACGCCGACCACAGCAACAGCAAATACACCAAAGAAGTACTACAGCGTCACTTACATCCCCAAGCTAAGCGAAAACTTTGATCACAGCACATTAAAGGAACAAAACATAACTCTCGCCTACAAAACAAATAACACGTTAGCTAGAATCTACACAAGAACAAAAAGCCCACTAGACATACAGCAACAAAACAACGTTGTTTATGAAATACAATGTAAGGGCAAAGAGAACGAAAACTGTGGTAAAGTGTACATAGGGACAACAAAACGCGCATTAGGTGTTCGCATAGCCGAACATAAAACAGATATAAGGAAACAAAAACACAGCACAGCCCTATCACAGCACATATTAAACAGCGGCCACACAGCTGATTTCACTAACACTAGGATTATTGACAAGGAAAAGAGGGAAATGACGAGATACACTTTGGAAAGCTTAAGAATATTAGAAAAAAGGGAGAATACGATCAACAAAAAAGAAGATACGGACAACATCGCGGCCGCCTACATGTTATGCATATCAAAATAAACAATTTAGTAATGACAAGACTATCATAGAGATTGGTACTGATTATGTGTATATGTATTAATATTAAGTTTAAAGCAAATGTTTAATATTATTGTGAGTATATGTTCTTTGTATTAGTCCATAATTGTTGTCTTTGTTTTTACAAACACATGTATGCCAACTTTTATTATTCATTTTAACATCTTTTGTTTTTCCTTGTATTTCTTTGTTGGATTTAATAAACATAGTGGCCCCTGATGATGCTGGAAATTTCAGCGAAACGTTGGGCAACGAAGGTGGAATAAGTGTTTTATTTGCACCATTAAATAATAGATCACACCAGCCTACAAGTCTACCAAAAATATATTCTACATACTGATCGCTACAAAAACCAAAAAACAGTGAAATATTTTAGTTTTTTACAGTTTAACAGAGGTTCCCAAACTTATTTTTCTCGTAGACCCCTTTCAAAACTTTACTGGTTTCGGTGGATCCCCTGATGCTCATTTCTAACATATTCCCAAAGCTCATG